AGGTAAACCTCAGATAATTGCATCTGTCAGGTAGAAATCACTAGGACACTGATTCTCTGTTTTATCAGGATGCCAGATGAGGAAAGAGGGCATCACACAGATCTCAACACAACAAAAACATACGCAGGGAACTCAAGATCATGCAATGTCTCCTTACAGGATTGTGGTGGAAAGGGATAAATAAACTGGTGGTGGGCTGTGGACTGGTCAAGGCACCTGAGATGTCCCACTAAGCCAGAGCACAGGGTGAGGATACACACTGATCCACACAGCCTAGGCCAACCCTAATATGCCGCCTTATTTTCACATTGTGGGTAGAGCTGTTTTTATTGGTATTATCATGGGCCATGATAAGGACATTCTATTTCCTGAGACTTTAACATCTGAATCAGTATTGGGGAGAAATTATGGGCATAGAATAAAATCTGTGTCCTTGTTCAATTCACACAGGTTCTGAGTTGAGGAAGCCTTGGGCAGTCCCATCCCACACTGTCATTATTTGGACAATTATTTGGACAGGGAAATAAAGACAAATGTTGAAGCAGTTTTGTAAAGCTCCTTGGTGAAAATCTACACTGGCTCCCCACCCCTCACCCCTGGTCCAACCTTCAGTCCTTATTTTAGAACAACCGTCCTTCCCTGTCCCACTCAGAGGAGGGAGGAGAAGAAAAAAAAGAAGAAAACATGTCTTAGTTAGGGTTTTGAGTGTTGCAATGAAACACCATGACCAAAATGCCAACTTGGGAAGACAGGCTTTGTTGGCTTACACTTCTACATGATGGTTCATCGTGGAATAAAGACAGGGCAGGAACTCACACAGGACAGGAAACTGGAGGCAGGAGCTGATGCAGAGGCCATAAAGGGTTCTGCTTACTGACTTCCTCCCCATGGCTTGCTCAGCCTGCTCTCTTATAGAACCCAAGACCACTAGCCTAGGGATGGCACCACCCACAATGGGCTGGGCCCTCCCCCAACTATCACTAATTAAGAAAATTCCCTACAACAAGAACTTAGGGAGGCATTTTCTTAACTGAGGTTCCCTCCTTACAGATGACTATAGCTTGTGTCTAGTTGGCATAAAACTATTCAGCACAATTTACTACTTGTCAACTTGACACACAAACACATCACCATCAAGTCACAATCTTCCCTTTCTCATTTAGTGTCCAATATGTGGCTTATATTTGAAGGGACCAGACCTAAGTTGATTATTCAGTACATGTTCCACACGTACTGAATTCCCAAAAAAATTAGTTAAAAACAAAATCAAATTCCATTCCAGGGGGCAGGAACAGAAGCAGAGGCCATGGAAGAATGTTGCTTACATGCTTGCTCCCTGTGGCTTGTTGAGCCTGTTTCCTTACACCATCTAAAATCACAGGCCCAGGGGACTGGGCACACCCACGTCGGTCATTCATAAAGGAAATATCACATAGACCTATCTGATAGAGACATCTCCTCAATTAAGGTTCCCTCTTCCCAAGTGATTCTAGCCTGTGTCAAGTTGACAAAATACTAGCCAGTACAAAGCAAAGGAGAAAAAGCAAGAGAACAAAGTAAGGCAAATAAAATTTAGCAATTTTTTATGTATCTGCAATAAAAACACTTTTATAAGCCCAGAGTCAGCATTTATTCCCAAAGAACTTGAGATAAATGCAATGTGTGAAAACAGGTAACCCTGACCTTGCCCCTTGCATGAGGACTGACATCTAAAGGGGAACGGGGCTCTATATCTACCACTTCCTCACTCTTAAGAACAGCAAGCATGTGTTCTGCTCAGCGAAGAGAGACTCTGTAAGTTACACGGCTTAGCAGAAACACAAGAGTTGCAGAACCTTATGGAAGATGAATTACAGAGGAACATTGCTGACAGAGGGGAGGGACTATGACTGGGAAGGCAGGTAAGCCTTCCCACCGGCATCTGAGAAGCCTGAGGAACAGAGCTGGGCCTACCCAGGGTAAGGTAAGTTCCCTGGACTGCTCCACAAGCTGTATTTCAGGCTGAGGGGAGCTGGTGTTTTAAGCAAAAGGGACTAACAAACTATCATTGTTATTTTTCCTTCTAACAATTATCAGTTAGTACAGGTTACTATACCAAACCACAAAGCCAGTAAAATCTTTTCAGATTCACATAAGAGAAAGTATTCCTTTAACAGTTTTAATATTCACCTCTGCTAATTAAAGTGTTTTTATTTTTAACTTTACTTTGGAGCTAGGGACAGTGCTCCAGGCCTCAGCGTGTTAAGAGTGTTAAGCCCCAGAGTGTTAAGAATTCAGAAGGAGCATAACCACACAGTAAATCAGTATGGGAGCGTGTAAGAAGTTATGTTCTGCACACTTAGGCGTTCCAAGAAGCATACTATTGTTTCTGACATTAACTTTTCTTTTTTTTTCCCAGAAATGCCCCCTATCATTTTACTATCTAAATACCATGGTACACAGTAATATCTTTTTCCAAGTCATAAATGATGAAAGAGTAAAAACCACAGAGAAATTGGGAAAATAAGATCAGCGGCCAAAACAAGCAAGACAGAGGAAGGGCTGAGAGCTACCGGTTTGGAAGCAAAAACACAGCCCATTGGAGCCACACCTGGAAGGTGACATGCCACTCATTCCCAAGTCAGTCATTAAAAGCAGCCTCAGAAGCCAGGCTGCCGAGGTTCAAACAGCATACCTCAGAGTGGAGGAGGCATCAGGACCCTCTATAGCAAACATGCAAATGTGACTGTAGAGCCTCTACAGTTGGCACTAGTTTTGGAGCATTTTTTGCCCAAGTAAGTGGCAAGTTCCACAGAAAACCAACTCATTGAAAAGAAAACATTACTTGTCACATGGGAAAAATACCTATGCGCAATTATCTGCATATCTGAACTCTGATGTGTGTGTTTCACTAATGTAATTCTTCCTACTTTATAAAAGGACAATGAGTTCAACAATATGACACGTAAAGTTACAGAGGTGGCAATAATCAGATTCACAGTTTGGGGTAGAAATTCTGCAGAAGTCAAACACAAAGGAAGATAGTCACTGAAGCCAGCACCAGAGTGAGGCGAGGCCAGGGGGCTTTCTCACAGAGACGCATGGCACATCTGCCCCAAGGGTGTAAGCCACACAGCAGCAGCATTTCACTGAAGTACACAAGAAAAACTTGTCTGTTTGTGCGTGGAAATTTCCCTTGAAACATTAACAGCTGGGGAGGGTGGGAAATGGACAAAGAGGAAATGAGAACTGTGGAATCTCAGTGATGATTGGACAGGGGCTCCTTATACTATCATAAATTGCAGATGTTTAAAGACCTCTAAAAAATAACAACTTTTTCCCCAAAGAATAGCTAGTAAATAATCATAATGTAATATTGTGGATTTTTTAATCAAAAAATGATTCAGAATTGGAAAGGTAGCTCTGGCTCTGTGTTTAAAACTCATACTGCAAGAAAACAAAGCACGAGGGGTTGCCAGTCAACTGTGTTAGTAGGGTGAACCTAATTATTATGCAAACGCCCCCCCCCCAGGTAAAGCATTGCAATGTAGTAGATGTGGGGGGGCTTAAGCCCGATTTTCATTTTCCATACTTTAAGTCCTCTGCAGAGTCTGACCCAGAATAAATGAGCATATTTATTTCCTTTAAACAAAAGCCAGCATAGCTGCCAGAAGACACATCATTTCACCTTTAACTACTTAGGGCTTCTGAGGTAACAGCAATCCAAACAACAAGAGAATGAGGGCAGGAATATCACAGTCATTCAAAAGTAACTACAAACAACATGAGGTTAAGACTCTCTCCTGAGCACACCCCCTGCTAGAGCAGCACAGGCCCACGGAACCCGGTGGAGCAGGGCTGCCAGGATGAAAAGGGCCATTGTGTGCAAAGCACACAGCCTTGCACCTCGTGTGTCTACTGAGCATTTGAAATATGGCCAGTGTGGTGGAGAAACCGGGCTTTCAGTTTAACCTCACCAGCAAATTTGGCTCCTAACTTCCATACTGGACTGCAGGGCAATCAAGGGGAGCAGTCAGTCGTCAGATTCATGGCTCTCCTGACCACTGTCCCTCTCCTGTCAATCATCCGTGGTTTACCCAACCATTGCCACCTGCCCCTCTCCCCCACAGATAGCTACTAAATTATTACTCCTAAAGATTGTATGCTGGGCTTCTAGCTCTTTCTCTGAAGAAGCAGCATAAATGAGCCACGTTAAGTACTAAGATGCAACTACACACAACTTTGATACTTGTGTGTTTCCTCAGAGGCAGTGTGACCCTGATCAGTGCTGACCAGAGCTATTTGGTCACCTTCTACCACCACTCCACTCTCTCATTGTCCCTCTTGTGGAGAAGCAAAAAGAAAGTAAAATAATGCCATTTTAGCAATGCCACGGCTTTCCTTATAAGGGTTACTCTAGCAAGCACAGCTTTATGACCAGTGACCCCATGGCTGAGAAACAGGATTGCTCCTGAGATTTTTGTCCTTACACTGGTAGAAGGTGTGTTTCTCCTTCACCTGGGTCACCAGAAAGTTAAAAGTTATCCTTGGATTGCAGATAACTGTTTCGTGGTGTTAAACACTCCTGCAGCTTCCAGTTTCTGATAGGTTCCTAATGTTGTACAGTGAACATCTTTCAAGGCTAGCAAATGAGTAAAATAGAAATAACTAATGCAAGTTAAGCTGAGCAAAATTTACAGCAAAATCAGGGTGGATTCTTACCTCTACTAATGTCTAAGTTAGATGTCCAAGACACTCTTTTCCAAGTTAAAAAAAAGAAAGAAAGAAAGAAAGAAAGGAAGGAAGGAAGGAAGGAAGGAAGGAAAGAAAGAAAGGAAGGAAGGAAAGGGAAAGACTAATGCACTCACAGTACCACATTAAACAGTTAGTCTACTCTACTCCCCATCCACCCACCCAAAGACTCTGAGAAGATCAAGACCCAAGATCAGCCAGTGCTTTTGCTGGCACATTTCTGTGCAGACAAGACAATCAGGAGTATTTTCTGCCCCTTCAATCCATACCTTGAATGCTCTTGAAAGTGCTGTGCTCGTAACTGGGATGCCACAAACAATGATGATGCTATGGCCAATAACTGGTTTCTCTCACTCTGTGTTAACGTGTGTCCTGTAAGAAATAAATCCATCAGTCATAGCTGTAATGTCAACATCTGCACTTCCCTCTTAGAGTCATTGGTCAATCAGGCAAGAACTTTGTAATGGACTCTGTAATGGACTCAATATTGTACAAGAAGCAGATGAAAGGGTGTAAAAAAGATCCATAAGAAAACAAACAAACAAACAAACCCTAACCCTCAAAGCTCACGGACTAACACAGGGAAAGAGATTTTGTTTTGATTTTCAACATTTATTCATTTTCCAGCCAGAATTCTCTGTTCACAGATTTACAAATATCAGAATATTAACGTTCTTATAAGAAAATTTAACCCTTGCTTTTACATAAAACCATGATTTAAATTTCAGTGGAAGCTTCTGGTCTAAGCAACTATGTTAACAAGCTTATTCATGTATATGGGAGAACAAGAAATCACTGACTTTTCTAAGGTGGTGACTGGGTACCAATGTCTCTTATTCTAAAAGTTATGAGCAGACAATTCCAAAATGCATAGTCTGGCTACTCTGCATGTGAACAATGATGTGTTAAGGGCATAGATATTGAAGGTGGTCTCTCTGTAGCAGCTATCAGAAAGGATGATTGATATATAGTTGATCCCTCTCTGTACCTGACACTAGTCCTGTTCATCTGAACTCTGAAGTACATGAAAGTGTTAATTTTTATTACATCTTTTAGAGAAAGAAACTTAACTGTTTAGAAGTATGTACCATTAAAATAGTAAGACCAAGGCATTCGAGCTGGCTCAGTGATCGAGTGCATACATGGCTTGTGAGAGTTTGGTTCCCAGCACCCAAGTTCAACAGCTCAAACTCTTATTTGTATTGTTTTAAATGTAGGAGTATGTCTGCATGGAGGTATGTGACAAGAATGTGCAGGTGCCCATGGAGGCCAGAGACATTGGGTCCCCTGAAGCTGGAGGTATAGACAGTCAAAAGCCTTTGCCATGGGTGGGAAGAACTGAACTTGAGTCCTCTGGGAGAAGAGCAAGTGCTCTTAACTGCTGAACATCTCTCCAGCCCCAGGGAAGAGATTTTAGTAGGTGCACAGAACAAAACAATAAATGGGAGGGCCAGAACCAAGAAAGTCTCTAGGGACTACCCCAGCTCCTCATACCTGCTTCTCGCCATCACTCATCACCTGTAAGTTTACTTCTAATGGAAGAGAGGCTAAAAGGCCAAAGTTCCATCCTCTGCAGAAGCAGATTGGTGCTGGCCAGGGACATGGACAAGGCCATGTTTTTCTAGCATGAAGGACTCAAAGAAAATAAAGGCATGCCTCTCTTGCCTCTATGTATGTAGTCAGAACCTGAAGGCAGATCAACCAACTGATCAAAAAATCAACAAATTTCTCTCTCCCACATCTTCTCTCCATACCAAAATTCAGCTAGCCCCAGGTACAGTAGTCTAGCCCCTGGCAGTCTCACATGCCAGACTGCCTTGAAGCAGGTAACTGGCTCTACTGGCATAATTGTGCATGAATCAACGGGTATCAAAGCAGAAGCCAGATGCTGCAGGGTCTATTAGTTCACCACACCAATGAGAGCTGAAGGAACCCACCATGTGACAGCAGACAATAGGTACAACTGGAGTTCTGAGCAAAGAGAATCCAGTAGGCACACAAATTTGAAAGAAACAAAGTGTTGTGAATGTTTATTTCTAAAACTCACTCAAGATAAAATGCTAAGAATTTAAATATAAATATTTTTCAAGATCTGTAGCATATTTTTCTACAGGAAGGTAATTCACAAAATAGAAGCAATCCATCCTTTTCTGGGACAAATCCCAGACACTGAATGAACTGTAACACAACATGGGCGCTCACACCTTACTTATTCTCGAATTCCAGGGACATCCCTCGTTGATCTCATAAACCACAACCTTGTGGGCCATGGCATGTCCTAGATCTTCTCCTGACACTGGAGCAGGGAAGAAAAAGCCCAAATAACCCACAGCTAAACATTCTATATGAAAAAAACAGAGACCCAGACTTTCCAAAACAATCACCTAGAAGAAGAATTCTCCAAGTGTGGCTCAGGGATGACTTGGGCCCTCGGAGCCCTTCACAGGACAGCAAGACTAGAAAATTTTCCTATTTGCTTTGTATTGACCCTCATTTTCAAGATGAAATATTTCTGCATTTCTTCCTGGAGTCTACTAATGGTTCCAAGCCCCCGGACACAGAATACATGATGATACCGTTGCTCCCAGGGCAGCACCTAATCCATTTACTACATTTGTTTCCAAATGAACCAGTGTTCTAGTTCCTTGGTAACAAACAAAGATCAGTGGATACATTAAGCTCTTGGGAGTACAAGAGGACTAATGGTCCTCAGACTTCATGGGGCATCCCAGTAGCAGGCTTTGAGGTTCACTCTCAGCCCCACACACAAGAGGGAACATATGCATACTTCATATGTTCAATCAAATCCTTACAAAAAAATCAGTAACTTCCCAAAGGAATATAGATAATTCTGATACTGTTTTTTAAAGGGGCTTGAAGTTAAAGTGTAAAAAGTTACTAGAGAAATAGATACAAAAAGCTCATATTGGGTCAACTGAAATTACAGTTCTTAAAATAGCTTCTTCATTTTTTCCTTTAGCTTGGAATTGAAGAAAATTCGCTTTTGGGGATTCAAATTTAAAAAGTCAACAATTCTTGCATATCCTATCTTTAAATTTTAGATTCAGTCATTTCAAAGTTCAAATCTAAGAACCTTTTGTAAAAGTGTCCTCAGTTACAAATAGATTTAAGGAAATAAACATACATAATAGAAAATTTTAATGCAGTCATAGAGACAGGGGCTTGCTTATGAACAGTGCTGAGGAGATCAGGCCAGATGGGAAACAGATGGGTAACCCCAACGGGGCAGAGTGACCTGGCCCCAAACATATTGAGAAGGTCCTGGACTTGCTTCACTTGCCACTTCCTGCTGTCTCTCCGGCATATACATCAAACAGTCAAAGATGATGGCTTAACATAGCTAAGATTTGCTCAGGGGAGGGGGGAAGGGGGACACATGGACAACTAAGGAGGTGAAGCCGCTATCTAAAGGACAGGAGAAAGGAAAACCTGGCATGAAAATAACACCAGGGAATAAAATGGGGGAGTGTTGTGGAATACTACTTTAAATATGTAAAGATGTGTTACATTTGTTTATGTTGCAGAATTATTTGTTTAACTATGCAAAGGTATGCTACATTTGTTTATGCTGCCTTTGTTTAATGATGTAAAGATGTATAGGTTTTCCTGCCTAAGGCACCTGATTGGTCTAGTAAAAAGCTTAATGGCCAATAGCTTGGCAGTAAAGGGGTGGGCAGGGCTGGTGGCCAGAGAGAATAAGGGAAAGGAAGGGAGGGGAGGGGAGGGGAGGAGAGAGGAGAAGGCAGGAAAAGAGAGGGAAACACCCAGGAACCAGCCAGCCAGGCAGACACCAGCCAGACAGACACTGAGTAGAACATACAGAATGAAAGAGATGTAAAAAACCCCAAGGCAAAACGCAAATGAAGGGAAACTAAGTTATAAGACCTAGTGGGACAAGAATTAGATAAGGCTGATCATTCATAACTAATAATGTGTCCATGTCATGGTTTGGGGTCTGTCAGTCCAAGAAAGCCTTCTACAAGGGAGATGTTGGGAACGTCAAATAAGTTGTATTTGTTGAACGTTCATAGAGGCCCTCTAATGAGCTTGTCGTTGAAAAGTCTGCAGCATATGAACTGGAATCCCAGCCCAACCCAAAGAATACTCAAGCTGTAATTGAAAACCCTGTCTTGAAAAACAAAAATAGAAAAGTCTACCATTGTGACTGAGATTTAATCTCACTGTTCTGGACTATCACGTGCAAGGCCCTGCACTCCATCCTAAACATAAAACGAAAAAGTAACTAATGCACATATAAAGTCACAAGTCTGTGACAACATGCAAAATAATTCAAGCCAGACAAAATCTGAGCATGGGGAAGTAAGAGCGGAGTCCTAGTTCTAACCTAGATGCTGTTTGCAATTGATAGGTGCTGGAAGGCCAGGGGAATCCGTTTTCTCCAACGGAGTGACAGTGGGTATATCAACCACCCTCCAAGACAGGCCTGAAGCTCAGGAGTAGTTGACTAACACAAAATGGACTCCATGATTTTTTGTGATTTTTTTCTGTTGTTGTTATGACTTGGTGCTTTTTGTCTTTTTCACTTTCATTTGACTTTGGTTTTGTTTCTCTGAGCATGAAGCTGAGTGGGTAAGGAGGTAGGCTTCTGGGATGGCTTCGGGGAAGAGAAAGAACATGATCAAAATATATTGTATGAAAAAATTTTTGAATAATAATAAAAAGTATTCTTAAGAAAAGAAGCAGCCAGGGCACAGGTTAAGGCAGGAGGACTGCCTCACATTCAAAAGCCAGTCTGGATTACATAGTAAGACTTTTTAACAAAAAGGAAAACTCTGGAGCTAGTTTCTCTTTTAGTGATCACACAGCTTCTTTGAGCTTAATGAGAAATAAAAGTTGAGAGTAAGTCATTGTAAAAGGTTCTCCTGGCAAATTTGAACAGTCAACAACCAGAAGAGTCACGATGGAAACTCCTTAAGACAGAGGAAATGTCCTCAAAAGTCCCATGGAAAAACACACTCAGTTCTAAGGTCAATTTCTCATTTGAAGGGGATTACAGCTCCTAAAGGATTTGTAATGTTTTTACATAAACTTAAAAGTACACTGAATATAGTCATTAAGGTTGCTTGTTCAAGTATACATTCATGCTCATATATAACCATACATGACTACAAACAAATGCTCACATGCATACATAAAATTAGTTCTGAGAGTTGACTTGAATTTCTTCTACCTATGGTTTTCTTCTGCCCGCTATTTCATATCATGTTATCTACACAAATGAATTATCTGTGTAGATATGGAAACATATAGAAGTTTTGAATCTGCTTACCAACTTACCACATCTTCTAAACTTTACTAATGAGAACAAAATATCAGAATCAAACAGGATGAGTTGTTTATATACATATGTGTACAGATGACTTAAAATATCCAAAGCATCCCTTTCATCAACACCATGGATAAGATTCTTTTCATTGATTAAACAAATGTTTATATAGTGTCTCCTGTGGGTTGTTGCTAGGGAGACAGTAAGAAGCAATGGCCTAAGTGGTTCTGACCTCAGGATAGCAGTTGTTAATGAGATAATACTCAATTACAATGCAGTAATCATGGCCAAGATGTAGTTTATCCTGTATTTTGAAAATTCAAAAATTGAGGGAAAAATCTGAGGAATTATTATTACTTTTGTACAAATAAAAGAAATTCTTAATTTCTCCTAATGATAAAACTCTAATGATAAAATTCAGAGAACATTCAGAATGGCTATTTTCAATTTAATTTACAAAAACTTTATTGTATAGGCTGAACTAAAAACCATTTTGCAAATGCATTCAATAGTCAACTACATAAATCTGAGTTAAATCTGTATGTAGCCTGCAATATGACTATGCAGGTCACTTCCTGTACTAAAACATGTGTTTTGCTTTGTTTGATATTTAACTTGATGGTACCAGGAATCAAAATCCAGGGCTTCACACATGCTCAGCAAAGGCTGTCAATCTAAACCCCAAGCCCCTAAAACACTTGAAATCCAAGAATCATCCTTCAAACCCCAGTTCACTAGAGATTTGTGTCTAGGTGTTTCTACAAAGTCTCAGTTGAATCCATTGGTTTCTACCAATGTTAACCAGGTCTTCCGTGCTCTCTCCATCTCCACCTTAATGGAATAGTCTTCTGTGACTTGGAAACACTCACGGACAACTTGTAAGTGTTAAATTTGACACAAGAACATTTTCTTTATCCAAAGTTTTATTTTCTTTACACTCAAAAACTGTTACCTGAGAGACTGTCTTCTGACCTCCATATGTACTGTGGCTGGAAGGCACCTAGACTCTCACACATGAGCACAAACTGCACACACGGGGTTTTTGTTTGTTTTTTAAGAGAAAAGCTGAAGGTGGTTACATTCATGAATCAAGCATGCATAATCAAAATCATAAGTGTTAATGGTCAAGAATACTCCAAAAAGCTAATACACTAAGTAGAACAGAAGCCATAGAACCTTCATGCATAATAGAAAAACTGTGTGTTGCAACTAAGAATAAAAATAACCTGACATAACTAAACAGACTTCTGAGAACTTACTAGTTCAGCACACATATACACACATACCTTTGAAGCCATCAGGATACACATCAGAGAGAAATTTGGTGTTGATATCCCCTTTCACAAAGCGTGTGTTGATTATCACCTCACGTAGCAATGGGATGTTGTGTGTAACACCTAAAAACAAAATTTCAGGCTGAATTGAAGGACAACTAGTTAGGTAACAATCAGACTTTCAGAGGGCTGAGGGAATTGATAAAAATGCTTGCCATACAAGCAGAAGGACCTCAGTTTCACTCCCATTTGAAAAAACGCCAAAGACAGCTGCATACACTTGCATGCCAGTGCTGGGCAGGCAGAGACAGGAGGATCCCCAGAGCTTGATAGCCAGGCAGGTTAGGGAGAGATTCTAGAGAGCTACTGAGAAAGACCTGTGACATTCTCTCTCTCTCTCTCTCTCTCTCTCTCTCTCTCTCTCTCTCTCTCTCTCTCTCATCTAAGAATAACTCAATTACTTGTCTCCATAGATAATAAAAATATTAAAACAAAAACAAAACAAAACCTACCCACTCAGCCTCCGTTTTCCACCCTGCTTGCAGTTAGACATGACAACTAATTCCTAAACAAGGGAATCCAAGTTGAAGTGATATGTTCAACACCTTTCTTTCATTTCTTCCTCTTAGGGGCTTCCTGATGTGGCAGGAATTTCACGTGGGCAATGTAAATGAAGTAGATCAACCCTTAGTCTTTCTCTGTCTATCTGTGTGCACAAGTTTATCCCCTAAAATGACCATGCTATCTGGAAGGAACAACAAACTAATTATATAAAAGCCAAGTATATTTCCATAGTATCCATACCACTGTATCTAGACACCTTTGTTACAGCAGGTTACCACGAACATGAGGTTCACATATGGGGACATGGGTTCATCTTTCCAAAACTACTATCCATCCCTAGGCTAACCAATATTAACAACTTAATATATCCCCCCAGACATTTTTCTATGC